AGTATATTCACAACGGCTAAACATTTTTTTTTCAAGTATCCTATAAGGAGTTTCCCTGTTTGGTTTAGTGAATTTACTGTGGGTGTCCCCTAAATTTCACATCTGTTTTGCTAACACGTCCCCACGAAAATCTGCTTCTGTAAGAATTAGTTTTAATATTTTCAATACATCAACAAAGTTAACCCATTACAAGATATGAACCCTAGAGTCTCAGATGGTGAGAAGAGAAAACATTCTTTATATAGTAGTTGCCCTTATGTGTGGGGAATATGTTCTAGAACACCCAGTGGATTTATGAAACCATAGATAGTACAGAACTCTATATATACTATTTCCTTTCCTATACATACATAACTACAATGAAGCTTAATTTATAAATTAGCCACAATGCTCTTGCAGTTTGGGGCCATTATTAAGTAAAATCAGGGTTACTTGAACAGAAGCACTGAGGTACCACAACAGTCAATCTGATAACCAAGACAACAAGCTACTAAGTGACGAACAGGCAGGTAGCATCTACAGTGTGGATAGGCTGGACAAAGGGATAATTCATTTCCCTGGCTAGAAGGAGTAGGTCAGCAGGAGATTTCATCGCACTACTCAAAAGGGTAAGCAATTTAAAACTCATGAATGGGGCCAGGCACAGTGGCTCACACCTGTAATCCCAGCACTTTGGGAGGCCAAGGTCAGAGGATCTCTTGAGGCCAGCCTGGGCAACATAACAAGACCCCATGATATGGTTTGGCTGTGTCCCTACCCAAATCTCATCTTGAATTGTAGCTCCCACAATTCTCAAGCATTGTAGGAAGAATTCAGTGGGAGGTGAGTGAATCATGGGGGTGGGTCTTTCCTGTGCTGTTTTCATGAGATCTGATGGTTTTATCAGGGGGAGTTTCTCCACACAAGCTCTCTTTTCTGCCTGCTGCTGTCCATGTAAGACGTGACTTGCTCCTCTTTGCCTTCTGCCATGATTGTGAGACCTCCCCAGCCATATGGAACTGTAAGTCCATTAAACCTCTTTCCTGTATAAATTACCCAGCCTCAGATATGTCTTTATTAGCAGCATGAAAACAGACTAATACACCCTGTCTCTACAATTTTTTTTTTTTTTAATTAGCTATCTGGGAGGTTGAGGCAGGAGGGCCCCGTGAGTCGAAGAGTTTGAGTCTGAGGCTGCAGTGAGCTACGATCGCACCACTGCACTCCAGCGTAGGTGGCAAAGTGAGACTCTGTCTCAAAATGAATAAATAAATAAAAATAAAATAAAACTCATGAATAGTTTATTTCTGCAATTTTCCACTTTAGTATTTTCAGACCACAGTTCACCATGAGTAATTAAAACCACAGAAAGCAAGACTGAGGATAAGAGGGGACTATTGTATTCAAATATACATGTAAATATCCATGTTCTATTGTCACCAAAACAAAAAAAATTTTTTTAGCTGATCTAAAATCTTAAGACATAGTCCTAACTTTATCTGAGGGGTGCACTCAGAAGAAAACAAACACACTCTACTGAGAAAATAACATTTTAAGAAATCAACACTTCTCCATGTTGTTTCCTGAGTTGTTCCATCAAATTGGTAGGAAATTATCTCACTTGAAACAAAATGAAAAATGTCACTAAAGTGAAATTTGTCAGAGTATATAATGATTTTGATGAATAATTATTAAATCTACAGTCAATCCCTGCCTCCTTCTTCTGGTACTTTCTAAATACTTCTATTATTATAATGTTGATTTTATTATCTATACATAATGCCATGTGTTGTTATATCTCTTTCCATGATCATTTTCTGGTGAAGTTATGAATGAGAACTGAAATATCCAAAAATGGCAAAAATAAGCATAACTATTCTTGCACACTGAGCTCCTCCTTTACAGTGTGTGGCCAAAATTATGCTTTTCATACATTATTTCATTTAATCCTCACAACAATCCTGTGAGGTAGGTACTATAATTATATCCATTTTACAGAAGAAGAAACTGAGGTTTCGGGGAGGTTAAGGGATTTGTGCAAAGTCACGAAGCTAGTAGGTGGCAGACATGTTTATCTGCCACACTCTTATTAAACATTAAACTACTCTGCCAATCCCAAACCTATGTGACAGAAACCGAAAGTAAGAAATATAAGAAACCTGGACATGCTGCTGATTGTGTAAAAGGATTAGGGAAGGGCATCAATTCTAAGAACTGTGAGATACAAATGATAGATTCCTTGACTCACTTCCAACCTTTCCTTGAACTGAAAACATGGCATTCTATGCCTGAAGGAGAATGGGACACTACTATGCACTGGGAATTTAACTGTCCCCTCCCCTCTTTTAGTAGGATAACTTGCATTACTATTTGATGGTATTGACAGGATCTCAATATCTTCTCAATGTGGTCACTTTTTTTTTTTTTGAGATGGAGTCCCACTCTGTCGCCCAGGCTGGAGTACCGTGGCTCGATCTCGGCTCACTGCAACCTCCATCTCCCGGGTTCAAGTGATTCTCATGCCTCAGCCTTCTGAGTAACTGGGATTACAGACTTACACCACCACACCCAGCTAATTTTTGTATTTTCAGTAGAGACGGGGCTTCACCATGTTGGCCAGGGTGGTCTCAAACTCCTGGTCTCAAGTGATACGCCCATCTCGGCCTCCCAAAGTGCTGGGATTACAGGCGTCAGCAACCACGCCTGGCCTCAATTTGATCACATTTAAAAAAATGCTATGGCCATGTGCAGTGGCTCACACCTGTAATCCCAGAGTTTGGGAGGCAGAGGCAGGAGGATCTCTTGAGGCCAGGATTTTGAGACCAGCCTAGGCAACACAGCAAGACTCCCTCTTTACAAAAAAAAAGAAACTTTAAAAAATTAGCCAGGCATGGTGGCACATGCCTGTAGTCTCAGTTACTGGGGAGGTTGAGGCAGGAGGATTACTTGAGCTCAGAAGTTCAAGGCTGAAGTGAGCTATGACTGTACTGCTGCACTCCAACGTGGGTGACAGAGTGAGACTGTCTCAAATAAAATAAATAAATAAGCAAGCTACTACTTAGATCAGCCAGTTTAAGACTAACTAGGTTGGTGACATAAAAATGATTTCTTAATAGAATATCCAGTGACCCGAGCAACTTGTGTAACTCCTACCAGTGAAACTAACCTTTAAAAAATGTTCTTAGTACATGAAATGTATTCATAAGATACTTCTAAAAATAACTCCCCACTGTAATTCCCTCCTTATGCATCTGGGCAGAGATGTCATATTTCCTTCACAAAGCTTCCTTTTATGTTGCAACAGTAAGAATCTCAATTTCAAGCTAAACCAGAACAATCGAGAACTATCAACTTTTTCATAAGACATGATTATTTGTATTAGCATGCTATATTTTATATAAATTGTTCACATGTGATGGGACATCCTTACATTTTAACTCAGAACTATTTTTAACTAGAAAATAAAGCAGTTGTAGTTTTAAATTCTGTCATCCTTCCCCCGTCTTTTTTTCTGCTAACACGTGGCTTTCCACAAAAGGGTCAGTGTGATCTCTGCAGATCAGATATGAGGAATATGGCCACGATAAACTATAGAAGGTTAAGCACATTTTAAGTGATTCAGGAGTTTAAAACTTGTCATCTGTGTATAAAACAAGCAAACTGTTATAAGTGGTTAAATAAACATGTACAAATTAATAGGATGCAGTCTGTAACTTCTACTTTTTCCTTCAACGAGTGTCATTTTGGCAGGCAGCCATATAATCTGCAATAATCTGTCATCATGAAGCACCACCCACTTCCTCTGCTTCGCCCCCATCCAGGCTATGACTGGGATATTTCTGGACTGCTAATATAACATTCAGACAATCATAAAAGGCCTCTCTATGAAAGCTGAAATTTACATAATTTGTACTTTTAAGTTTTAAACATTCATAAATCTTAAGGAAAAAGCACATGCTATATGACATCACATTTTAAAGATTATCTGATACTTAAAATTTCCTTTCTCATACATTAGAAAGAATAGCGCCCCCATTAGTAATATCTACTGCAATGCTTCTTAAATGAAAACATCCTATGTATAATTATAAGACTTAATTTACACATTTAACCTGCATAGTATTATGAGTTTGGATATCACAGTCACATGTTAGCCTATGCATTTCATTTAAACCTCATTCCAAGAGACTAGTGAAGTTGGTAAAGAAATTATTAAGGTAGCTTTCCTGATTTATAACATATTTTGCATTAACTTTTTAACATACAAATGATGACATGTCAAAAAAAAAGTATCTGTTTTCCTACTTTAACTAAATTCATTTTATGGGACTATAGTAGTCATATAAATTGTTAATAATCTAATGGCCAACATGTTTTATTTTTATATTTTAATAAGTAGCTAACCCTATGTATTAAATTGATTTTAAAAGTTACAAAACAAAATAAATGTGACCAAACCCTCTGACTTTTCTGTCTCTAAATTTGGTATTACATTCAAGAAACTGCTCTGCTTTCTATACTATTTTCCCTTTCTGTGAATGAAGAAAAACAGGAGGCAGGCTTGTTACTTTTAAAGATCTCTAGGATGAATAGTTTGCCACTTTGAGTAGCTTGATTGTGAAATATTGTTTTAAAGTAATAATATCATCCATTAGCATAAACTGCATCCATTTAAGATGACCTTTAACATATTTCAAGTTTTTTGTTTAAAAGACTCTTCTGACAAAATTTTGCTATTTTATTTGATGCTCAGCATTTACCTTGCTTAATCAGAAGAAAAAAATTAAATCTTTTCTGAAAAAATTACCACTTTTATTTGTAGAATATCAAGCTACAAATTAAATAGAGCACATGAATCCAATGACTTTTGAGGTTGATTACTCTCAGCTGGATTTTGAGCTAAGGCCATAAATATTTCACATGAACTTCAACAGAGTTTACTCATTTTTTAACAGTGTTTAGACACAAACCATAGTTATAATAAAACATTAAATGTAAAATAAAATACCAACGACACTTACTCACAGTAGATCTCAAATGCATGTCCTATATTTCCAGTTCAACATATTAAGACTTTAAAAATTCTGTATTTAGCTACAACAATCAATACGATTTCCCCAGAGATGGCTTCATTTAAAAAACTGCCTCTTCCTCACAGGAAAAACTGAACTTAAGTTATAAGAACACCGCAGGCTATCAGCACCTTCATCCCGAGAAAGGAAGTTATTACAGACACTTAGTTTTATAAGTGAGGCTTAAAGAGAGTACTTCCTGGTCAGACAGCTAACGTCAACAGCAATTTATACAGCTTCGCATTTAGACATTTTAGAAAGAACTCTCTAAAAATTTTTCCAGAATTTCCCCCCCGTACCTACAAAAGAGGAAAACTTGCTCAAGCTAATCTTATGTAAAAAATCTATGAAAGTCTATCAGTGCTCACCGTTATGGTATCAAGTAGATATCAGAACTGGTTACTATTATTGATAATTATATCAGCTTAAGTTTTAATTATTTTACAACTTAGGCACCCTCCACTCTCCCTGCATACCAGAGTAAGGTTTCATGGAATACAATATTAGAAAGAAAAGAACCAATTTACTTACAGGAGGACAACTCACCATTTCTTGATAATGAAGAAAAGGCAACCATTCTCATTTTAATTTGCAAATTGAAAGTTAATTCTCTTTTAAACTTATGTATTAAAAAATCATCAAGAAACTTTGTACAATACTAAAAAGGAACTGCAGATAAAAACAGCGTGACCTGGGTGCCACACATTACTATCAGTATTGCAAGCTGAAGTATTTCCTGTTACAACGCCCATTGGTTCCCACAGGTGCAAGTGCCTATGGGTGGCGGCAATTCACCCCTCCTTTTGTAAGAGATCCACTAAAGGAGAGTTAAGATTGGCACAAGCAATGCTAGGAACTATTCGAACAGAACTACCTTGGGCTAATACCGAGAGACACCCAAACTAGACTGATTGTGAATTGATGATTACCTAATTCCAAAAAGCTGGAGAAAATTGATTTCAATACTTTCATTATTTTTCTAAGATGCACAATTATTAAGAATGCATGGGGGTGGACGCAGTGGCTCAAGCCTGTAATCCCAGCACTTTGGGAGGCCGAGGCAGGCAGATCACTTGAGGTCAGGAGTTTGACACCAGCCTGGCCAACATGGTGAAACCCCATCTTTACTAAAAATACAAAAATGGCTGGGCATGGTGGCAGGCACCTGTAATCCCAAGTACTCGGGAGGCTGAGGTAGGAGAATCACTTGAACCCGGGAGGTGGAGGCTGCAGTGAGCCAGGATCGCACCACTGCACTCCAGCCTGGGTGACAGAGCTAGACTCTGTCTCACAAAAAAAAAATTATGTGATTTTATTCAACAAATATTTACTAATTGGCTTCTATGTGCAGGGTACTGTTCTAGGCACTAGGTAGGAATACAATAATGAACAAAATAAAGTCCCTGTGGTCATCCATATACTATCTAGTGAACTTCTGAGGATTTCATATATAATGAGGAAACTTCCACAAAGGCAGGGACTAAGAAATTTGTATGGAAATTTGGAAACTCAATTGTAGTTAGCGTAGTTACTAACAAGCATTGTAATAAGTGGTCACCACTTTAAACCTAAACAGAACTTTTCCAGAAACTGTCACACAAAAGTAGCATTCTTTATGTTTTAATTGTTTTTAAAAGGACATGTTGGAGGTAAAAGCATATATTGCAGCAGGGAAAAGGAAAAACTTCTCACTATGAGTCATCAGTGACTAAGTTCTTTTAATTCAGGCTTAAAACACATTTCAAACCCAATTACATGTACATGTAGAAAACTGATAACAACCCTAAATTAACATCAGAAGCTTGATTTCACCAATTTTCAGGGTCAATATCAGCATCTAAGCAAAACAAGTGAAGTTTTTTTATCAAGGGATAATGCCCCTGTACTGAATTTTATTATTATTTTGATCTTATTAGACTTTAATGCCTAAAAGCCATGTCATCAAGCTTCCACTAGACTTCATTACAGTGAACAGTTTTCTTAGGTTTTAGCCAGAATGAGATACAGTCATCTTGGATGTATGGTGTGGTGGTAGGAATGGCTTGAGTTTGTATTCAATGAAATAAAAATATAGTAAATTCAAGGCTGCTCCAAGAAAAATGTAAAACCCCGAGAGCAGAGTTTGCAGATGAATACTACTCTTCCAAACTATCATTTACTTCCTTAGAATTTTTTTTAAATTATTATTATTATTTTTATTTTTTTTTTTAGACGGAGTCTCTGTCACCCAGGCTGGAGTGCAGTGACACCATCTTGGATCACTGTAACCTCTGCCTCCCGGGTTCAAGCGATTCTCATGCCTCAGCCTCTAAGTAGCTGAGATTACAGGCATGCACCACCACATCCAGCTAATTTTTGTATTTTTAGTAGAGACGGGAGTTTTACCATGTTGGCCAGGCTGGTCTTGAACTCCTGACCTCAAGTGATCCACCTGCCTCAGCCTCCCAAAGTGGTGGGATTACAGGTGTGAGCCACTGCACCTGGCTAGGATTTTATTTCCTTATTATTATTTTTTTAATTTCAACTTTTATTTAGATACAGGGGGTACATGTACAGGTTTGTTACATGGGAATATTGCATGATGCTGAGGTTTGGGGTATGGATCCCATCACCCAGGTAGTGAGCATAGTCACCAAAAGGTAGTTTTTCAAACTATTAATAAATAATAATAATAATAATAATAATAAAAAAACATGCTGGTGAGGCTTCAGCCAAAAGGGCATGCTTATACACTGATGGTGTGAATGTAAATTAGGACAGCTACTGTGGAAAGCAGTCTGGAGACTTCCTTATTTTTAAAATAACGAAACCTTTTTAGCTAACGAATCGGAGGAACTCTCAAAGCCAAATTTCTCTATTTAGTCAGTCAAGAAATATTTATTGTGCAACTACTAACTGCTAGGCACTGTTCTATGAGTTGGAGATATAGCAATTAATAAAACAAAAATCCTCGCTTTCATAGACCCTAAAATTTAGGGGTGTTCAATCTTTTGGCTTCCCTGGGCCACATTGGAAGATGAAGAATTGTCTTGGGCCACACATAAAATACACCAACACTAACAATAGCTGATGGGCTTAAAAAAAAAAAGTCTGTGCATAAATCTCACATAAATCTCATAATGTTTTAAGAAAGTTTACAAATTTGTGTTGTGCCCCATTGAAAGCCACCCTGGGCTGCACGCAGCCTGCGGGCTATGGGTTGGACAAGTTTGCACGTAGGAATATAAGACAAACAAGCAAAATATCTGGCATGTGAGAAGGTGGTAAGTGCTATGGAGAAGGATACAGTAGGAAAGATGGAACAATAAGTTTATTTGTTCATAGTTGCAAATTGCCTAGATCACACAGTAAGAAAAATTGCTTTGGAAGACCAGAGTGCTAAGCCTCCCTCTCCCAGGCTCTACCTCTGACTCAAGTGAACATCTACCTTCCGTTGAAAATGACAGTCTTATTTCAATTGTTGCTAATAGCTAGAGAAAGGAAAACAGGCCAGGTGCGCGGCGGCTCACGCCTGTAATCCCGGCACTTTGGAATGCCAAAGTGGATGGATCACCTGAGGTTAGGAGTTTGAGACCAGCCTGCCCAACATGGCAAAACCCCATCTCTACTAAAAATACAAAACACTAGCTGGGTGTAGTGGCATGTGCCTGTTATCCCAGCTACTTGGGAAGCTGAGGCAGGAGAATTGCTTGAACCCGGGAGGCAGAGGTGGCAGTGAGCCGAATTGTGCCACTGCACTCCAGCCTGGGCAACAGAGAAAGACTTCGTATCAAAGAAAAAAAGAAAGAAAGAGACAGGAAAACAAACTTCCAAATACCAATCTGATAAAAATACCACTTAAGGAAATAAAATAACAAATACGAAACACTGAGTCAAAGGCCACTTTAGAGAATATTATCAATGTTAAAAACAAACATACAAGTTTCCATATGCTTGTTACCAATGGCATCAAATTCACCAACTGTCAGGATCACAAGTGAATTCTTCTCTAGGAATCCACATTATCTCCACTGGCAGCAATAATTATATCTTATAATAGAACACAGAATTGTATGTATAATTATATTTAAATATTATTTTGAACCTAAAGTATTTAAATTTCATACAATTTGACAAGATACTAGTTGCAAGACACTACATTAGATATATAAAACACTGTCCTTTTAAAATTAAGAATATGGACATCTAAGAAGGATAAGTACAAATCCTATAATTTAGTATTAGAGAGAATATTATATAATAAGAAAAAGTACAAATCAAGTACTTAGGGAATTCAAAGGAGAGAGTAGCAAGGAGGATAATCAGAGAAGGATTCATGAAAGATGGCATTAGAGGTGGTTCTGGAAAATGAGGAACAGAAGGCATACTAGGCAAAAGAAATGGAACAAAATCCTGAATAGGGCACATCAGTAAGCACTTGGCTAGTAAGACCAGTCTGGTCAAGGCACTGTGTGTGTGTGTGTGTGTGTGTGTGTGTGAGAGAGAGAGAGAGACAGACAGACAGACAGACAAACAGACAGACAGAAACAGGCTGATAGGAGCCTAAAAACAGGTTTATAGGCTGGGTGCGGTGGCTCACGCCTGTAATCTCAACACTTTGGGAGGCCAAGATGGGCAGATCACCTGAGGTCGGGAGTTTGAGACCAGCCTGAACAACGTGGAGAAACCCTGTCTCTACTAAAAATACAAAATCAGCTGGGTGTGGTGATGCATGCCTGTAATCCCAGTTACTCGGGAGGCTGAGGCAGGAGAATCACTTGAACCCGGGAGGCAGAGGTTGCAGTGAGCTGAGATCGTGCCATTGCACTCCAGCCTGGGCAACAAGAGCAAAATTCTGTCTCAAAAAACAAACAAACAAACAAACAAAAACCAAGTTTATAAATCTGTACTTAGTTTGGTAGGTCATGGGGAATTACAAAAGGTTTTGAAAACGTGAGTGTCAAAATCAGAGCCATACTTTAGGGAGAATAAGACTAACAGTGTATTTAGGAAGAATGAAAATGAAAAGGAGACTGGAAAATTGTCACGGCTGTCCTTCCCTTGCGCCTTATTAAGGCCCTCATAAGATCCTTGGACCACTGAGAGGTATAAAGTGGAAAATGTTCTAAGTTGAAAAACCAGATCTGGGTCATAGTGGTCTGGTTTACCAAGGTCTCTGTGACCTCTGGAAGTCATTTATCCTTTCTGAGTTTCAATTTCCTTATGTATGAATCTATTAATTATTCTTCTTGGAAAAAAGTCAGGAGCCAGCTATGAGTTTCAGCAAATGATTAGATAGTAGGAGTAGAACACACACACACAATATGAAATTGTTTCAAGTGATTAAAATAATAAAGAGGCCAGGCACAGTGGCTCATGCCTATAATCCCGGCACTTTGGGAGGCCAAGGCAGGAGGATCGCTTGAGCCCGGAAGTTTGAGACCAGCCTGGCCAACATGGTGAAACTCTCCTACTAAAAATACAAAAATTAGCCAGGCGTGGTGGCGGGTGCCTGTAATCGCAGCTACTCCAGAGGCTGAGGCAGGAGAACTGCTTGAACCTGGGAGGCGGATATTACAGTGAGCCAAGATCACACCACTGCACTCCAGCCTGGGTGACAGAGCAAGACTCTATTTCAAAAACACAATAAATAGCTATCATTAAGCACTTCCTATGTGTCACTGTGCTTGGCACTTTAAAAAAAATCACTTCATTTATTCCTTTTACAGATCCCGAGAGGTATGGATTCTTATTTTACAGTTGAGAGAACTGAGAGCTTTAATGAAGACTTAATTGCCCAGGGTCAGGCAGCAGACATAGTAATGGAGCCAAAATCTTTAGCTGCCTAGATCTTTCCCAGACTAAGGCCCTCTCTCCTTCCACTGTCTCTTGCTGTTTTTTATGTAGCAGATGAATAATGCTAACATTTACTCTTATATTCCAAAGGAATCACTATCTCTCTCTCTTTTTATATTTTTTATTTGTAGACAGGGTCTTGCTCTATCACCCAGGCTGGAATGCAGTGGGGTGATCATGGCTCATGCAACCTCCATCTCCCAGGT